CAATACATCTCATTACACTGATTTTCTGGTAGTCTCGAAACCATAATATCAACCAAATATAAGTAATGTAGTCGATTGATATAACAAACATACGTTTGCTTCATCAGCATTCCCATCAAAAAAAATAATATCATATAGCAAACAGGCCTCACCTTCCTTGAAATTCAATTATGCCCTCTGACTCAAGAGTATTCGTGACAGTGTAGCCGAGTGTTTAGAATGTCAAGTTTCCATCCTGCACTGCCGCGGTTCGCCTCCAGCTGAGGGTGTTGATAAGACCGATGCGAGTTCGAAACTACAGTCCACCCTGAATGAGAACAACTTTTAGGAAAATAAGGTTATTTGAAATTCAATTGTAACGTCAGCTCAACTCATATCATTGTCGGAAAATTCTACTACCACTCCTTCATCACTTTAGACGAAATAGGGTGAATACATCTCATTACACTGATTTACTGGTAGTCTCAACACCCTACTATCATACGACTATAAGTAATGTAGTCGATTGCTAAAGTAAACACACCTTTGCTTTACCGGCACTCCAACCAAAAAAAAAAGAATATAATTTTAGCAAAGAGGCCTGACCTTCCTTGAAATTCAATTATGACCTGTGACTCAAGGCTACTCCTGGCACTGCAGCCGAGTGGTTAGCATGTCAAGATTTAATCCACCACTGTCGCAGTTCGACTCCCGCTGAGGGTGTTGATAAGACCGATTCGAGGTCGAAAATGCAGTTCACCCTGGACGAGAACAACTTTTAGGAAAGCAATTTTTTGTGAAATTCAATGGAAACGTCATCTAAACTCATTTCATTGTGGGAAAATTCTACTACCAGTCCTTCATCACCTAGACGGAATAGGGTGAATACATCTCATTACACTGATTTACTGGTAGTCTCGAAACTCTACTATCATACGAATATAAGTAATGTAATCGATTACTACAGCAAACATAAGTTTGCTTCATCGTAACTGCCACCAAAAAAAAGAATATGATATAGCAAAGAGGCCTGACCTTTCTTGAAATTCACTTTTGCCCTGTGACTCAAGTGTATTCGTGGCAGTGTAGCCTAGTGGTTAGCGTGTCAAGCTTTTATCCTACACTCTCGCGGTTTGACTGCAGCTTTGGGTGTTGATAAGACCAATGCGAGGTCGAAACTGCACTCCACTCTGGATGAGAAGAACTTTTGGAAAAGCAAGGTTATGTGAAATTCAATGGGAACGTCGGCTCAACTCATATCATTGTGGGAAAATTCTTCTACCACTGCTTCATCACCTTAGACGGAATAGAGTGAATACATCTCATTACATTGATTTACTGGCATTCTCAAAACCATACTATCAAACAATTATAACTAATGTAGTGGATTGATTTAGCAAAGAAATGTTTGCTTAATCAGCATTCCCCTCAAAAAAAAGAATAGAATATAGCAAAGAGGCCTCTCCTTCCTTGAAATTCACTTATGCCCTGTGACGCAAGGGTACTGGTGGCAATGTAGCCGAGTGGTTAGCGTGTCAAGCTTTCATTCTACACTGTTGCGGTTCGACTCCCGCTTAGGGTGTTGATAATACTGATGCGAGGTCGAAACTGCAGTCCATCCTGGATGAGAAAAACTTTTGGGAAATTAAGGTTATTTGAAATTCAATGGAAACGTCAGCTCAACTTATATCATTGTGGGAAAATTCTACTACCAGTCCTTCATCACCTTAGACGAAATAGAATAAACGTAGCCAATGGTCTTATACTGTTAGAATGTACGAAAAATATTTAGAGTATGCAGAGCGGAATAAAGTTTTCTAATAAGAACTCTACTTAGCCTAAGTTACTTGTGGAGATAAAAGGACAATTAGATTTCATACACTATAATGAATAAAAGGCCTCACCATAGCGTTCAATTTCACTTAGCTTAGTATAGAAGTGGTTTGACCTCATGTTCGCAACATGAACCTGTCGTCATGTAGATCTAGTTAAGCGTAAATTGCCTGAAATCATGTGCCATAGATGTCAGGATAACTTCCTGCGAGGGTCGTCGATTTGTTACTCTCCCAGAACTTTCGCCGACATCGTAGTTGGTATCGTGATTAAGATTTTTAACTCTTAACCCCAAGCCTCATATTGTCAGAGAGACAAATGAAGTCTATCCCTTAACCAACGTTCTGCAGAACAATTGTTATATCACTCTTCCTTTCGTTCTGCCACATCTAACTAGATCTTTTCCTGGTATTAAACTCCTATCTTAGTTATTCTGGACTATTACGGGTGTCCCCTGTGGGTATGTTGAGTCGTCATCACATTTCCATCATGTTCGTTTTCTACCCATGTTGATTTGTCGGAATTCATGTTAAGACTTAAACCCTTCATTCTTCAAACAACTCCATTCAACTCCCATGTTTCCATAAAAAGTGCATATTTGGTTCTTATTTAATGATTAATTAACTATCTTAAAGAATTCCTTCTGATCTTCGCTTCATTAAGATATCCTCTTCCTGCCCTAAGATTTCCAACATGGCTTTGAATGTCCTTTATCCAGATATGCTCAAATAAATAGATTAAACATCACAGTTATCACTCTTTCGGTCGAATGATTTTCAATGAGTATTTCACTATTTCGATTAATTCTTTACTTTTGTTGTCTATACGTCGATTTCTCCTTTTGAATAAATTTCTTAAAGCATGTCACTTAGTCGAAGGTATGAAGACCAAGATGGTGTGGCCTTTTGTGTGGTCGCAGTCTCCTTTCGTTGTATAG